TTTGCTACCCTCGCGTTATCAATCGATAAGGTGTGAGGCAGTAATTGTTGGACGAGTGTAAGCCCATGGAAGATATGATACGATGAGATAAGAAGGTGCGGCTGCTTGATAAGAGGTGCACTCCAGAATGAAAACGGGACGATAACGATAACGGTATCATATCTAGCACGCTCTTATCGCACCCCTTTCCACATCGATAAGTCTTGGTTTTTGCTGAACGGAAGTGGATTTCGGCGCCTTATCACTCCGTTGATAAGGCGCCACTGCCACTGAAACTTCACGTGTTCTAACATTGGGCAGGACCTCCTATCCACTCCAATACATAGCTTTCCTTATCGTTCCCATGAAAATTATCGTGACCACTTCCTTTAACCCAATCGCGTGAACGCGATGCATTTATCTTATCTACCTCCCTATCGATTAACTTATCCACTACGTCGTAATACACATCGGTGCGACTGGCTGCGAAGTATCTCGTCCGTAAGTTCACATTAGCAGCCATCAAGTAACTTGTAAGCCCTTAGTGCCATTGCTGCGCACTTTAAGCCGTGGTTACTGCAAATTTGTAATCCTCGTGAGCATTTCAATTTATCTGCAGGGGTTGTTGCTCTAACCACATATGCCTTCCGTGTGTATACAGGGGTGGCCAAAAAAAGAGACACTTTGCCCATGGCGCACATCATCGAACTTTTCGTCGCACAGGGAGCCGATGTTAATGAAAGTTTTACGGCGGAATATTCCTTAGGTGTTCCCCCGTAAACAGAAGCAGGCCCTCCTTCACTGCCCCACCGTCTTCAGAATATGACGTCATCTGCCGTCACCGTCGAGCTCAACGAGGCTTACCGTAATCGCTCCGGCCTGAAGCTGCTACATAATTTCTTCAATGATTAACTGGTGAATAGCTTCTAAGAGACACTAGCTGTGACTGTGCAAGACCGCTTTTGACCAGCGTTTCAGGGACGTCGTAATGGTCTATGGTACCTCGACGACCTCGTTGAGCTCGTACCGTGAACCATGTTTCCGTGGGAAAATCTTCTGATGTCGTCGGTGTAGAAGGCTGTCATGTAACTTTAGATAGATTAGAATGTGCTCTTTAATACTGAGTTGGGTTCAGTCGATTTGATTCTAGCAAAGTGTGATTAATGCTGTCTGAAATGTGGAGTGAAGTGCCACCCCGTTACTCGTATAACTTCGTATAATGTATGCTAACATGAATGTGTCAGTTGTGATCACTGGAAATAGCACACAAAGTTTCACGCATGAAGATTCGGTTTCTGAAGAGAAACAAACGTACAAAAACTACACGTTATGGACCATCGAAGGACCAGGAGGCAGAGCCAGGCGAGGCATGGAAAGAAGACGGCGTTTGGCCGGCTACGTACCAGGCGACGCAATGAGAGAATCGGGTTAAAGCGCGCGATTTCGGAGAGTGGAGACAAATCGATCGATGGAATAGGATGGAGTAGAAGTGTAAGATGTGAATGCAACGAAGCAGAAGGCCAGAAAGAGCTTCTAGTGAATGCACTCCAAGAACCAAGTTTGAGCATCCCCGTCGCCAGCATTCGTGAAAGACGTCCGTGGGCAATTCGAACGCGTAGCAGCCTTTTCGAGTTTTCGAATTTCTAATCAAAACGAAAGCAATACTTCAGTTCTTTTCACTATTATCGTGGATAATGAGTCTCAAGCCAGTGATTTATGGCTGAAATAGAATCATGATTTTTCCGCGCAAGATTCCTTTAAGCATACACATATACTTTAAGTGTGCAGCAAATTTGGGGACAGAGCGGATAATAGCTATTCTGGTCAGGTGCTGGTCAGTGTTTCATCCTCCATTAGTTTTGACTACCAGTTGTTTGCAACGAAAAAAGGCTGAAGCTTTCTACCAAGCATCCTTTCCTGCCTAGCATTCCGCTACATTATGACTGTGTGTTTATAGAATACATTGAAGATGGCGTACAAGTGAAGGGCGTGAAGGATATGTTGTTGAATCGAGTAAAATCGTAAGTCTTTGTCGTCTTTCGAAGCTGCATCGTAAAAACGATGATAACAAATCAGTCACGGATTTCCAGAACATTCTTCTACTTGGACATCATTTGCATTCTACCCACTGATTTTTTGCTTTACCTAAAGCCAGATTTATCACTGTGCAGGCTCAACAGACTTCTCAAGGTAATCAGGTGTGAATTATAGGTGCACTTGCACAGACGAATTTGCTCCACATTGGTCGCTACGAAATTACCGTGCAGTTTGGCCGCTTTATACGCGAAATACGCGCGACAAAGGGTACCCGACAGAGGCCCGTCGCGCGGCAAGAAGGCAGAGTCAGGACGAGTCGCAGCGCGTGATGTGCGATGTAGGACGTACAATGGTACATTCTATTTAAACTTGACGCGAAATCACTACAGTACGCGCTGCGACTCGTCCGCTGACTGCCTTCCTTGCCGCGCGACGGGCCTCCTGTCAGGTACCCCGCGAAAAGCGACAAATTTGCGCGACACGTAGCGTATACCATTAGCAATTCACATCACGTTAATCGCGTTAATCGATACTCTACTATAGAAGAAGTGGTCGCAATAAATTCCCTTTGGGAAGATGACGTGATGGGTCTTGTAGAAGACCTACTTGGTGAGCCGTAGATGACACTTTAGAGGCAGTGGCGCCTTATCACGGCGGGATAAAGATAAAAAAAACCTCTTCGGACATCTGTATCCTGAAGTTTCGAACATGGAATGGGCTCCAACGGTTGCGTTGTTGGTAAACGTTGTCGTTATGGTCCCAATTTCCTTACCAAATGGCATTGATATCAAGGTATGGAAAACCACTATTATCATGAGTCCTCCAGTTGATAACGCGTAGAACTGACTCTACCACGCTCCTACCCATCCCCTGTGTAACCTTCTAATTCGTTCCATTAGAATTTATCGCGACCACTTTCTTAACACGTTGACGACATGCCCTTGTGCGCGAACCTACCCACCTTATACTACATTACCAATAATTTCATTAGTGGTAACGAGAGAACTATTTTTCGTATCCAACAGTAGGAAGGGCCAGTCTTGAAGCATGAAAATGGAGGCACAATTTAGGAAAAACAAGTCTCTTCCGTGTGAAAGTGCGGGACGTATGTGTCCCGCGCTGTCGTCAAAGTGTTAATCTACGTGTTGCTTTCGGCTGTAAATAATATATTTTTTCCTTCAGTGCTATCGTATTGGCGAGTTCAACGCTCTAACGGAAATCAGAACCAATTTTCCCAATCTGTTCCGCATATCGAAGCTGATATTCACTTGTTTTATCATTTTTCATTGGAATGGATGCTTGTACTTCTTCATCAGCGTTGTCTATGATTTTCCAAGTGAGTAGTTTGTAATCGGTGAGAAGCTGAGGTCTCCGAAACCTATTCGAAAAACTGTGCACGACACGTCGCTCGTACCCCTCGAATTGCAGCGATTACGTGGATTCGCTATCCACGAATTGAATGGGTAGCGAATCCACGGAATCGCTGCAATTCGAGGGGTACGAGCGATGTGCCAACGGTTCAAACGATGCGCCAGCGACTTTAGTAGCTGATTCGCTGGCGCATCGTTAGTGCCCGTCGACTTGCTAGCGAAGCTCCCAATCGCTGGCAAATCCACAGATTCGCAAAATGGACACACTTTTATTCGTAGCTATGCAAGATCTGACTCTTGACTAGTATCTGTCTTTCGAGAAAACCGGAGCAGCTCACATGGTCGAGGAAAGGTTTTGAATCCATGTCAAAAAAAAACAACTGCATGTGCTTGCTAAATTGTGAACTAGCACCCCTCTGAAAGTGACTGTCGAAGATGAGCCCACCTTTGAAAAGGATTTCCCTTCTTTGTTATCAACGCATAGCGAACTGTGTACGTCATTATGCTTGAGTACGCATACAAACGAAGAAGAATTGGTCTGTTCGCTTCTCGCATTTTTTTGTTACAGAGGTATTTTAAAGCGTTACCGACCCAAAAACGTAGACATTACTGATGCTCGAAGTATTGGACGGCTATCTGTAATTGATGAAAAAACTTAGAAACCGCTACCGTCTGAGTAGTGTACAGGGTGCGCCAAAATTACGGAGACAGCGACTTCGAGTTGCCTAGGATGAGCAAGGTGCAATTCTTTGAAAACAAAAATGCAGTGACGTGCACAGTCCCATTCTGAATCGTCGACATCCATGCAATTTTTGAAATTCCTTGGTTTGTGTTTATACGGGTCCTCAGAAACATCGAGGAACCATCGACTGTGGCACGCAATGTGGCGAGTAGGACTCGTCAAGCTCATTTTAGAGCGGTTTCTTCAACGAATCCCTAGACATAATGTGTTTTATGCAAGCCTCAGCTTCTAGAACGGATCCGACAGCGTACCCTATCGAGCTCAGATCTGAAATGCTGTTCTACCACCGTTTAAGCCGACAAAGTCGAAAAAATCGGTTCTGCATTACGTATGCACTA